TTATTATCAGAAAGGGTTTTGTGGAGATTATAGTAATTTCAATGGTGGAGATCATAGCTAATTGAAGCTAGACCACCATGAGAAATCTCGAAACACTGGATGGCTGTTTCGCTCTATTGTGGGACTCCTCAGCATTTCTCATGTTCAATCACTAAGCAACAATGTTATCATACAGGTATAAATGAACATGGTATTAAAAAAACGAAAGCGGGGTGGGGTTGAAGTTGGGATAGGTGAGAATAGAATCAATACTTCTAGCATGTAAACTAAATTTAAGTGAGAGAGACAGAGGAGGGATAATACATCAATTGATTTTAGTTAGAAAATAATATAAGAAATAATAATTTCCTGTTTCGGTTGTTGTTGTCGTTGTGGTTGTTGTCGCTATTGCAGTAACAAGACACATATATATAGAGAGAGAATAAATTAATGAAATGAATAATAGTAATAATGAATTCGAAAGCCAAAATGAAAATCAACCATTATGTGGTTTATGCCAAAATTATATGTTTTCTTTCTTTCTTCTTTCTTTCCTTTATTCTTTCTTTTCTTTTTCCTTTATTCTTTCTTTTCTTTTTTCTTGTTGTTGTTTTTGTTGTTGAAATTATATCACGCAATATTTATATCTGTCGTATATTTATGTTACTTAGAAGTTGAATATATCTATATAAATGACCAAGGAATAAGTAACATGTACTTCCCTCTTTCTTGTTATATATATGTGTCTAGAATGGAGGTTTAAAAACAAAACACCTAGCTCAATTATCGATGCAAATATTGAATGATGTACAAGCAGCAGCAGAAACAACAACAACAATAACAGCAAACAAGCAAACAAACCCAATTAGAGTATGACCTAAATATTCTTTTAAATTTTTGATTAAGATCACGAATCGATTGATGTTAGACCATCATTGATAACTTGAAAAAATGGTTTTGTTCTAGTGTAGGTTTGTTCAGCAATGGATTGATTGCGGTTAAATATCAACACAATTGAATGTGGTCTTAGTGGTTTAGAGGTTAAATGTTCGTATGTGAGATTGAAGATGTTGGGTTTTAATCCTGTGGGCGGGTTTATGAATGTGTATTGCTGGAAAGTTCTATAAATGGATGAAATGGTCATCCACTGCTTCCAATTTGTCAATGGTGGTCTAGTTTATATTGACTTACGAATTCAACTATTAAAATGATTAAAATATCCACAAACCCCTACTCTGATATTCATATTGTTCTATCATGATTATGAATCGTATTGTATTCAGACGAATTAACCTTATTTAAGGTAAATGTTGAATAATTTAATAAGATCCATTCTCATTAGTCTATGATTACAATCCGAATAATTCGATGCTATTTTTTCACGATCAGATTCGATCAACAGTAAACTAATTCCAATAGTTGAATTCATAAGTCGATATAAGCTAGACCAACGAAGGAACACATGGAATCGCTGAACAGCCGTTTCGACCTAGCATGAGTGTCCTCAGTGCCAGTGCGTATCCGCGATCCAGCTCGCGGGATTCGAACCCAGGACCTATCGGTCTCGCGCGTGAACGTTTGACCTATAGACTAGTGAGTCGGCCGGCGTCCAACGGTGTTAATGTCGAACTTTCATCGATCCATGAATGGCTGCGCAACTATTCATCCATTTTACTGAGGTACATATTTGTCTCTAACTCGAAACGGATCTGCCTTGATTGGTCACGGCTTCTCACTAGAACTTTAGGACATCTTCATGGAGGCAATTACTATTAGGCACATGAAGATGGTTTATGGAGTTTGTAGTAATTTTATTGGTTGGATTGATGAGTTGATGTAAGCTAGAAAGAAAAAGGTCATTCAGTACTTCTAGATTTTCAATGATGGTCTCACTTATACTGACACATGAATTCAACTATTAAGATCTAATAACTCTTTAGAATTGTTGAAGACAAAGAAAAAGCGAATAGCTGTTTTGTACTACTGTCATTGAATTGAATTTAATCAATTTAGATATACTGATATCGTATTGATACACCTACAAATTGACATCATTTGGGATAATTACAATGAGTGGTAACAAAGATATGCAGTTCATTCTAATTAGGACTTGCCAATAATGTGTACCTTGATTTGTGTTGAACAATATACCTGAAGATATGGGTTTACACTTAAATGTTTTAAATTATTGAAATATTGGAATCAAATATTAATATGATTATTCATCTACAGAGTCTTCAATATGATTTAACATAACGCTGATCATTGCGTAGAATATCGTAATAAATTGTGTCATACAAAGTACCATCTTCATTTTTATCTCAATCAACCAATTCCACATCTCGATTGGGAGGGTAGTCGTTGTAGTGTGATATGTACTCTTAATATCGACAGATATAAGTAATATATATCACTAATTGGTGGTAGAATGTCCGGTGACAAGGTTGAGAAAATCAACGACAAGAGGATCAGAACAAAGAACGTTTAGTGTGAAATACATACTACTAATCACTTATTCAGATTATGAATATCATTCATTGGTACTGTCATTCAAATACATCTAACGCTACATCCACTGACACTTTAGTATTATTCAACACATCAGTAAGGTGTATCTTTATGGATTCGAACCATATCATTCACCTTTATAATCTAAGATATAACCGTCTAACTATTCAAACTTTATGTAGACTTAAGAAAGACTATCTTCCTCTTGATATTTAGTTACTTACTTACTTACTCCTGTTACTCTTAGTGGAACATAGGCCGCCGACCAGCATTCTCCAACCCACTCTGTGCTGGGTCTTCCTTCCTATTTCTATCCAACTTTTGTTCATTCATCTCGTTTCTGTCTCCATTTCCCGGTGTAATGTGTTCTTTGGTCTTCCTATTCTCCTTTGGCTTTGGGGATTCCATGTGAGGGCTTGCCTTGTGACGCAGTTGGGTGATTTACTCAATGTGTGTCCTATCCACTTCCAGCGCTTCTTCCTGATTTCTTCTTCCGCTGGAATCTGGTTTGTTCTTTCTTAGTTACTTAAATGTTAACCTTATTTACTCAACTTTAATTACTGATGAAACACAGTATCGGTTATCGATCAATGATTCTATCGTTTAATTAATATAGATAACTTTAAATGTATTCAAGTGTTACATTTTCTATTATCTAATTAGAAATTGTAACAAAATAAAGCAATACTATTGATTAGGATACAAAAACAAGAAGAAATCAATAATCACTATGATAAAAGTGATCATTTTGTTTAATGTGTAAGTAAAGATGAATAGTAGCTAAGAGTGGAATGAAGGATACACGTTTCGTCCTATTTCAGACTCGTCAACTGGATTTATCTACATAACAGAGTTTTTGTTCACTCCGGGACTCGAACCCATTGCCTTTCAATTCAAGTATCATTTCATTACCCACTTAACTACTAAATCTTAATCAATAAGATGATTCAAATAAACAATACTTTTTCCTATTATCAAATATTTTCAGAAGGGGTTTTGTGAAGATTTTAATAATTTCAATGGTTGACATCGAGTGAATTGAAGGTAAACCACCATGAAAACCCTCGAAGCACTGGACGGTCGTTTTGTCCTAATGTGGGACTCCTCAGCAGTGCGCATCCAAGATACCGCCCACCGCGAGATTCCAACCCATGACCTATCAGTCTCGCACGCAAGCGCTTAACTATTACACCACTGAGCCGGACGACACCCAATAATGTTAATGTCTAACTTCAACCAATCCATGAAATTGCGCCACGATGCACCAATGTCTTCAGTGAGCTAATATCTCACAACAGATCTGGTTGAACTCCACTGGTAATGGCTTTTCATTAGAACCTCAGGAAATGCGTCTTAAAGTCAGTCACAAGTGAGGAGTCTCATACTAGGATGAAACGGCCGTCCAGTGCTTCCATGTTTTCCATGGTGATCTAGCTTCAATGGACTTATGATTTCAACGATTGATATTATTAAATATTTTTCTTTAAAATGGCCTTATTTCTCTTTATTTCTCTGTCTATTCATTAAAACAATAGCAACAACAAAAAGAAGAAAAAGAAAAACTTCATTGGTCATTTTTCTTTATTATTTTTCTTCTTTATTTTCATCATCAATAAGAAAATTAATATCTACACATCATACGAAGATAATTTACCCAATTTTGTTTCTCTTAGAGATAAGAGAAACCATGTGGTGGTGGTTGGGTTATTTTCACATTTGTAACCTTCATATAAATTTAGAATGACCTTTCAATGAATTAGGTGTATTTTTCTTTATTTTTTTCGTTTTTTTCTATAATAGATATTCTCTGAAGAAGTAGCTTACACTAAGTTACGAAACATCTAATGTTTTCCTATTTATTTACATATCTACAAATGTATTATTATGATTATTCATTTATTCATTTGGTAATTGAGAGTTTTTGACATGATAGCTCATGTCAGATCGTGATGAAAACCAACTATCCCCACCACCGCCCTTAAATTTGATTCTTAACCCTGAACCATCAATTGTAAATCATAATCTTTAATTCTCACACAGGTTTATAACCCTCATCTAGTTTGGTGAACAGTCTCCAAGTCACTTCAATGTTACACATAGGTCATCCATAAATTATACGTCTTATCAATAAATCAATTAGAAAACAAAACACACACCGTATTTTCACTGATTTCACTAATGATATCAATTTGGTTAACCAAATACATTAGAATTCCCTTGGGAAGAAAGAGAGAGAAAAAGAGAAGAAGAGAGTTTGCAGAACAAAAAGAAAACCGATAAATGTTTTCATATCATTGATATAATTAGTTAAATCTTTAAGTTTCTTATCAGAAGAGGGAGGGATTGTTGTGGCTATTATAAAGATTTTTTAGTAGTTGAGCTAGATGAAAAATAGAAAACATGGAAGCATTGGAGGATGTTTTGTCCGAGGATGAGGAAAGACTCAACATCTTGACATAACACATATAAAATAAAAGTCAACAATGATTCCATTAGAACCACAGACTTCATATTTAGGTTGAAAGGGAACGGAAGTGAAGGGATAGTATCGAATCATCATCATCATCATCATCATCATCATCATCATCATCATCATCATCATCATCATCATCATCATCATCATCATCATCATCATCATCATCATCATCATCATCATCATCATCATCATCATCATCATCATCATCATCATCATCATCATCATCATCATCATCATCATCATCATCATCATCATCATTCATTCATTCATTCATTCATTCATTCATTCATTCATTCATTCATTCATTCATTCATTCATTCATTCATTCATTCATTCATTCATTCTTTGTCCTAGTTCTCTTGTCTTCTGCATTCTGCCACTGGGCATTTCACTTTCGATTGATGATAAATACTACTTATATCTGTCTATATCAGTAACACACATCCCTTAATTAATTTAATGAATAGTTTTACAACTAAATCTGTAAGACTCACAAAAATGGGAATAACCCTAAAGGAACTGATATATATTATCACTGAGAGGAAGAGGAATTCGGGTATGTTTGGAAAACACTTTGGTTTTGTATAGTGAATCTAATCTGAATTGAATATCTACCATTAGATTAAAAGGGACAATAAAAAGATGCAAATAATGAGTTTCTTTTAGAAATTTCAAATTACATAACAATACTACTTATTTCTTCGATAGATTAGTAGGCAATAGGCAATATTCTATTTTTAATGAAACTATAGTTTATGGCTGACCTTTGAGTGACCCCAAAATGACCTTGAGAATGCCGACCTAAGTACTAAAGCTAAATGAGGGTTAAAAACCGTTGTGAAGAATAAGAAGATTATGATTTACAGTTGATGGTTAAACGTTGAGAATTAGATTCAGATGAGGGGGGGTTAATTACGAACTGATATAAGCTATAATGGTAAAACGTTATTTAGTCAAATGGACGAATGAAGTTCGCGCCAAAATCCAAGACCTGTTATCTTATACGTGATTGGTTCGTCTATAAATGATAGTCTTACTAGTGAATCATTTGACTTAAAACTTGTTGATTTAATAAAGTAATAGTTTGGCATAAAGAAGTTTCAAGAAAGACGAACATATTTTCATTTGAGGATCCCTAAAACACAAGTCATTCAATTACTAATCAGTGATAAACTAGTAAAAAACTCGTGGTTCTTCAAAATATCGGTTACGGTAATGAATAGATCAGTTCAGTCAGTCAGTCAATCAGCTACAACGCAGAACCAGGTACCTATATGCATCGGTCAAAGTTGCCGTCCCTCATTAGCACAGCAAGATGAACAGTGGATTCATAGAAGTAGTTGATCCAATGGTCGTTATATATAAAGGAAAGATTGCATATAAAGACATGATACAGTAGGAAAGAATAAGTTCGCGGAAAGAAAGATATGAAACGATTTCAATCTCATAGTTTAAGGGAAGACAGAGAGTGTATACACCTACGCCACTATGATTGATTCTGAGCCATGTGACCCAGAGTCTTCAACCAGTGGTTACGACAGTCGCTCGGACCCAAACCAAGTAGTCTGCATTTACCATCATGTCTCAGACTAGAAGTTAGTGACTTCAGGCACTGATTATATATAAATATTTATGATGAAAGCAACATATCATAAATTATATTGAATTTGGGACAACTGTCTTGTTATACCAATCAATTATGAGATCGTAGCTCAAAATGATTCGTGCTAAAGTCCCGGATAATGACGATAGGTGACAAGTGTACAGATGCTGCCAATAAGAATGTCAGTTATTTATGGTGTATAGCCACTTCTAAACATGAAATAAAATCCTTAATAAACATGAACCATAATTCCCTTTGAAACCTCTCTCGGGCTACTGCCGGTCTCAAGCCTGGATAAAGAAGGACGTTTGGGCATTGGGTTATCGACCACATCCGGTAGAAAACTGACTCTTTAAAACGCTATACATGACCCATGGAACTTCTTTGGTCTTAGAGTATCTTATTGCATATTTGAGCATCTGGACATTCATAACGGACAATATACCATTTATTTATATATTAATTGGTCTATATGTAGTTGCTGTAAATTGTTCAATAGTACTTCGAACTATGATATACACTGAAACCTTACATTTCTAATCATACTATTACTACTCACATGAAATACGTAACAAGAGTAAAATAGCACAAATTATGATTTCTACATTAATTGTTGAATTCATGAATCAATTGAACTTTGACCACCATGAAAAACCTGGAGTCACGTGACGGCCGTTTCGGTCTACTGTGAGACTTCTCAGTAGTGCAAATCTACGCACCGCTCCATGGGATTCGAACCCAAAACATCTTGGTCTCATACGCGACTACTTAACCTATAGATCACTAAGTCGGCCGACATCTAACGATATTCATGTCTAACTTGAACCAATCCACTAATCTATGTTAAAAATGATCCTATTATTATTATGATCATCATTTCATTGTATACATTGTACATGTATATATATATTACTTACTTGTTCAATAATTCAATGGCTATAAGTTCCAGCTAAAGATCTTCTTTGTTGAAACATGTGAATGATAGAAACTTTTAGATTATCGATGAAAATATATAGTCAACTTTGAAACATTTCTCAAATATGTTCATTATGTACTTGTGTGTGTGTGTGTCTGTGTCTGAGTTTTTGTTGTTCGTTGTACAAGTATATTTATGTTTTTTTTCTTTTCTTTTTTCTCTTCTCTTCTTTTCTCTTTTCTCTGACTTATGAAAATATTCAACAAAAATGATGAATATGACTGTCAACGTTGATGATGGTGATGGTGATGAAGATGGTGATGTTAATAACTATGATAATGTCTAAACTCTTATGATCAACTAAGAGTTGCGTAATCATTATGGGATAATGATAATGTTTGTAACTATAACAGAATAGAATTGATTCATACACCGTAGTAACAATCAGGATATTGAATGAACAAATAAGAGTTAAATGAATATGATTATAATAGTGAGTTCAAATATTAGTAAACAGGACAAAGTTATGTATTCATCACGTACTTACATAGATACACACACATATATACAGGCATAGATACATGTTTAAAGGAATATATCCATTTAACTGTTGTTTCCAGGTATGTTTTAAATGTTATTTCTTAATTTACCAACTTCTGATTGGTTAAAATGGTTGATTTTTATATTTTTAGTTTTTAGTTTCTAATTTGATGGGATAATAATAATAAATAAATATGGTCATAGATATGGCGCTTTATGTAAACAGAAAAAAAATAATACTCGAAAGAAGCTTATTTACTCCTGTCGAGAAGCATAGACTGTTCATTAGCAATCTCTATCCAAATCTGCCTGGGTAATCTTTTCCAGTTCATTCTAGTTGCTATTCATCCTTTTCATATCTGTTCCCATTTCCTGACATAATGTGTTCTTTGGCTTTCCTGTTTTCCGTTTCCCTTCAAGATTCCAAGTTAAGGGTTTGCTTCGTGATGGAGTTTGGCGATTTCTTCAATGTATGTTTTATCCACTCCCAACATCTTTTCCTAATTTCTTCTTCAGATGGAAGTTGGTATGTTCTTTATCACAGTTACCACTCATGATGGAGTATAGGCCACCTACCAGCATTCTTCATTCAACTCTATCCTGGACAATCTTTTTAAGTTATTTCCGGAGCGAATTGAGTGAATAAATTTCGTTTAATTAGCTTTCCGTCATGACTATATATATGTATATATTCTGGTTAGTGCCTTGTTAGCAGAGATATTTTCTACGAGACAAAGTTGCCGACACCCTCGTCTAACCCTGCTTCTTGACCCAAACTTACTTTAGTTAATGTAGTGAACAAGAACAAAAGTGGGGAGAACTGGATATGTTGCGATACAGCAATACAGAATATCTTGATAAAGTCTGACTACCATACAGTAAATACTTCATATACAATATATTCCTTAATTGTCTAATAATTGATTATTCCTACATTATCATGCCAAACGCTATCTGTTCTCGTTATCTTCTCTTCGAATTTTTTCAACCTTCTACCTTCAGACATTCCACTTTCGATTGATGATACATACTACTACTTATATCTATCGATATCAGTAGCACACCCAACATTGAGATAAAGGTCAATTGGTTTTGTTTTACTTGTACCTTTCCATTGATATTTAGGGCTGTAGTTGATCAGTCTCATGTTGGCATATGTGTATCCTGTGCGGATTGCCTCGATATAGTCTTAAGTCACAAGCATCTTAAGCAAAGATGGATAGTGGCTAGAAGTGGAATTGAGGACGCAAGTTTCGTAAAACAACACCAAGTGAATTTAAACTTCATCCATATGCTCAAGCAGGTGGATATCAGGACTCAGTAACTAAGTGGATAACGCGATGGCGCTTGAAGCGACTGGAACTAGGTTCGAGTCCCGGAGTGACCATCATTGCTAAATTGCAGATACATCCAGCTGACGAGTCCCAAATAGGACGAAAAGCGCGTCCTAGATTCCACTGCTAGCCACTATCCATCTGTGATTAAGATAAGGGATGTGTGTAAATTTTTCAAGATTCGTATTTGTTATAACAATGACTGACTTTAAGTGTAGACCAATTGAGAAATCGGCTTCATTAAATAGTGGGACACTTGAACTATTCACATCTATGAATTGAACTCAAGGTAGTCTGAAATAGTGGTGAATACATTCAGTTTAAATAACCTGGGTGACTTTTATAGATTCGACATCTCAACTTTTGTTTGTGACATCATCAGTTGTTATTCTTTAACACCTAAGTGATATCTAAAATTGATCAATACTTCTCGGTAGAACTTTGTAAATTTCTCTCAAGTTTACTCATTAGTAATCATATGATTACCATTTGAACAATAGGTTTGTAGATATTGATGAATAATAACACAGTTTTAGGATACAGGCCGAATAGTTCCAAATTCGCAGATCATTGGAGTCGTGTATAGACAGTGAAGATGGGATTCTCTCCTTGGTGATAATTCAAACCTAATTTTGATCAACCTTAATTAGGGTAGGTTTATTCTTTTATATTCATTGCTTCAATATTTCTGTTTCGTCAAAAGATTGTAAGAATAAATAAACTATGATCAGAGAGATGTTTTATGGAAATTGTAGTAATTTATTAATTGAATTCATGAGTCAATTGAAGTTAAAGCACTATGGAAAACCTGGAAGCACTGAACGGCCGTTTTGTTCCATTGCGAGACTCATAAGCACCGCGTATCCACG